GAGCCCAGGACTCTGAGGAGGGCAAGGAGGTGAGTCGGATTCTGGGAACATGGCAAGTCATTACTAAATGTCCCTTTAATGTAAAAGGAAACTATAGGGTGGAACTGCAGCCGTGGGAGAGCTGGGGCTTCCAGAACTTTGGCCACAGTTCAAGTCCAGACTTGGCCTCCTACTGAGTATGTGTCTGGGAGTCCATGCAGATCATTTGCTTTCTTTGATTTTTGATTTATCTGGTGGAACAGGAGATCTAGTGTACTCTAGTGGGTGCTTGTAAGGATCAAATGAAAGGACACATATGGACCTGGTAGGGTACCTGGGACATTAGGTGTTCAGGGCACAGCAGTACTTGGGACATTAGGTGTTCATAACACCTGCCACTCTGACCTCGGTGTTTCAGGGAGCTCTGCTGACCTACTGAAGGAACTTGTCACATACCATATGTGCATAGTGTGAGTGAAGGAGACAGAGCCTCAGGACCTCCAGGCAACATTGTTCAGTCCCCTCAGGGGAGGGTTACAACCAAAATCGATTGGGGATTGTTTCTCTTCTGCAGGCGCAGTACATCTCAGTGTTTTGCAGAGGATAGACAGAGTGAGAGGAGGTGACTCCAGCCACATGGCCCACCTGCTGCTGCCACCGAAGATCTCTGGGTTCCTTTCCTTACTTTGGTCCTTCCTAGGATTTCTGGTCTCCTTTGAAGAAATCCTAGGTGCAGTGGTCTCATGGCAGATGGCTCCAGTCAACTCCACTAAAGACAACGGGGTTTGATCCTGCTCTAGTGCTGGAGTTCTGGGCAAACTATCCTTTCCTTATCCCCTCTCTGAGTCCTACAAAATGGCAGAGGTCTGCTCTTTACCTGGTTCAGACCCTTTTAAGGAGCAGATGTGAAAAGACAGAGGTTTCAGGCTCCATTGTGATTCCCGAGAAGAACAAAGTAAATGGGACCGAGCCATTTGTGACATTGGCAGCATCACTCACATGGGCTTTGGAGAAAAAAGTACATGAAGGAGAAAATCTGTGCCTGAGATATTTTCCTCCCTGAGGTGGACCTCTTTCTCTAAGCCCTAAGAAGAGAAAGTGAATGTTTGGCTATGCTGGGAACCAAAGGCCAGAGACCTCACTTACAAGGTTTGCCCCAGCTCATGCCTTTCAGTGTCCTTGATTTGTGGCTTGTCTTTGGTCAAATAACTTTGAAGTTGAATGACGACTTCAAAGATTGATAGCCCAAGAGGCATCAAGACCACATTTGTTTCCTGCCTAGGGTTATTTCAGTGGAATATGAGGAAGACAGAAGGGTGGAGCAGAATAACAAGGTTTCTCTCTCTCTCTCTCTCTCTCTCTCTCTCTCTCTCTCTCTCACACACACACACACACACACACACACACACACACACACACTTCTGCCTTTTACCTTCAGCAGCCACTAGACTTACCAAATCATCACAGAAGTGACTGCCTAGAGACTAGGCCAAGGGAAAACATAAATAAACCCTTTAACTTTACTTGCTCTTAGTTGACTTACAGACAGCTAATTTTGGAGGTCACATAGCCAAGTAATATGTTATTAGTTTCACACTAGCTTTGCTGTAAATAACACCTCTGATATGTGGGTTATGATAAAGATTGCCTAACTTACTGTTCAGGGACTCAAAGCCCACTTTTACTGAGAACACTGGTCCTTCCCTTGAGCTTGCAGATGTCTAATGGGTGATTGGAATAAGATGAAAAGGCGTCTTTGTATTATGTTGGAGTTTCTTGCTGATTTAACCTTTGGGTCATATTCTTTTTGGCTTTGCATGCAGACGGATTGATTGCCTGTTGGAGCTGGTGTTTTCTTCTGCCTGTATCCTTTTGCTCTGTAGGAGTTGCTGCACCCAAGCACCTAGAGTCCTTCAGCCTTATCACAAGGCCAGGATGTTTGTGCAGGACGATGACAGTAGCCACAAGAGAAACTCAAACTGCTCCCAGGACAAGTTGAGCATGGCTGCCTGGTAGCTCCAATGTTGCATAAGAGTGAAAACATCTTTGGAATCATGCTCATGGCCCATGGAAAATTACCAGACTTTAGCCCACCCTCCCAAAATATCAATAAAAGCTTACCCCTCCCTTGGTTGGGAAGGCAGTTTGGGTCCCATCTTTTTTTTTTTTTTCAGTGATATTTCCATTTATTTCAGTTTCAATAATAAAGTTTTTCTCTTACATGATTGAACACCTATTTTTCATTAAAATTAACAGTCACAATTGAAGAAACAGCGGCTTATCTTTCTGATGAAGGGATCAAGCTGCTAAATCTTAAGGCCTCAACAAACATCATTTCAACAAGACCTTTTATTTTGATTATTCCTGGTGAGCAGCAACTGTGTTTCTCCAGTGGTTTCCATCTGCCAAATGGTCATGACAGTTGTTCTGACACGGTGCCCACTGCTTCCAGAGATTCTACCAGACGCAGCCTCTTCCCAGAGCAACACCTACGGCAGCCTCCACTCAGGTCCACCCATTGGGACTTTTCTATCGAGGCTGGCCAAGAAGTCCTGCTTTAGCTGCCAAGGCTTCGTTCTGCTGAATATGGTATTCTTGAAATCTCATGGATATTCTTTGTGTCATTTTTAAATATTTCTGTAAGCAGTGTTCTGAACAGGTGATCTCTTCAGGTTTTACTTCTCTTGTTGTGAAGTCTTTAACACAGTCCAAAAAGCAGGTTTCTGTAAGTTTATTGTAGGTTCCCAGGAATTCCCTAAACTGTTTTATCTGATCAGATTCTGATATCTGTGCAGCCATATTCTTTTGGTATATTTATGAGTCACCTTTTCTGATGCATGAGTTTCCTCAGTTCCTAAGAAGCAGCTCTCCAACTTCTGCTCAGTGTTTCCAGTGAGGCCTGATTTCTCACCGGCTTGCCCGTCCGCACGCGGCTGGGGGCTGTGGCTGCTGTCCGGAACGCAGGCTGAGGGGCGGGCGAACCGGGTTAAGGCGGGCGCCTGGGCTGGAGGACGGCTGAAAACACGTGCTTGGGTCCCATCTTAATTACTGTTGTCTCCTTTCAGCTCAAGCCCCAAAGAAAGCCCCCTGTGTGTTCGTAATACTTGGCTCTGTTTCATTTCCATTGCAACAGATCCCATTTCTAGAGTTATGATCCCTGCCTACAGTCTTGAATCCAGGGACTGGCTGATGTGGGGTAACAATGTTCTACCTCTTGCTTTCAGGAGCACAGAGCTGAAGGCCATCCCACTGCCTAGAGGGCCAATGAGAACTCTGTGCTGCTGTGGCCTGGCCCAGCTTATCATTCTGCCCAGGCCTGCTGCACACTCACAAGTGGGGGGTTCAGTCTACTTCTAGGGAACCTTGGCCTAGGACAGTTCTCCCTATATACCCTGAAAGGAGGATTGACTCTTGGGCACAAGGAAGAAAGACTTCTGGAATGTGAGAGGAGAACAATAAAATGCCAATCATCATCACCGATGTATTCAATATTAACGTCACAGTCCAGTTCCTCTTTCCTGTGGGAATGGGGGTGGATTTAGCTGTAGATGTGATTACAATAAGGTCTATGCTAATGAGGTATTCCATCCACATTTCTTCTGCTAGAATGTCATCACAATCTTCACACGTCAAATCATAAAGGCGTTAGTACATTCTTGAGCAAATTTCCATGGGGGGAGGGAACCTAACTATGGACCCTTGGGGGAAGGCACTGGATTGTGAGCAGGAAGTGCTTGGTTAGCAGTCCATCTATTAAATGTGAGTTAGATGGTGTAATTCTTTTGACATTATACCTAAAAGTCCAAGAAAGATCTGATGTTTGAGTTTTGAAAAATTAATAGTCTCTTATCAATATGCAGAACCAGAAGGCTAACACCTTGTTAGTCATCAGTTGCCAGCGAGTCCAGAGTAGGGGAGGTGCTTTAAGGAGAGTGGGGAATGTGGGTGTGTGGGCAGAAGGGAGGTCTAAGGAGTGTGCTGGGTGCGAAAACATGGCTGCATCTGCTTTGTCATTTCTTAGCTAAGTACTTTGATGTTATGACCCAAAATAATATTTCCCCAAATATGGTATATAACAACTGGTAGAATCAAAGAGAACTTTAGGTGGTATATACATAGAAAAATATTGGGCTGGGGATCTAGCTTAGTTAACCTGTTATAAAAGGTATTTCTGGTCTTCTATTTATAAGTGAAGTTGTCTCAAAATAAATTTACATAAGTATAAAATAAACTTATTTAAATTCTATCTATCTATCTATCTATCTATCTATCTATCTATCTATCTACCTACCTACCTATCCATCCCATCCTTTTCAGGACTGGCAATTGAGCCCTAGGTCTTTACTGTGAGCTACATTCTCAACATTTTTAAAAAGTTTGAGACATAGTCTCACAATATTGCTAAACTGCTCTGGCCGATCTTCCTGTCACATACAAGGTGCTGGAATTACTGGTGTGCTCCATGTGGCTGACTAAATAAAATATTCAGTGGTACAAGTAGCCTGTAAGTATTGTTATAAAAATTCTCCCAATGACAATATGTGACTGACAAAAGTTTGGATATTCAATTTGTTGTTTCAGAGTGCAAAAGAGGGCTAGACAAAGGAGCCTATCAACCAGCACACTCAGAAAACATGAAAAAGTGCCACATGGTACTGTTTAGAATTTATCATTATCAAATTGATAAAGCCACTTACATTGACTGACATTGCTTCTGGTGTGTTCCTAAATTTTTCTGTCCTATCTGTGTCCTCCCTCGACCTCAGTCACAGAGTGGTCAAAGTGGTTTGAGGACTTGTCGTCTCTAGAGCGCATGTGAGGTCAATGAGATTCTGTTACTTCTCACACCCATGGTATTACTGCCCATCAGTTCTATGCCTAGTATGTATCAGGCACTGTGAAAGCCCGTCAATTAAACATGAAACTCTAGAGAATTTAAGGGGATTTGCAAAAATGAAGTCCCCAGTCAGGAAGGTTTCTGGACTAAATATAGAAGTACTTCAGGAGACCTGAGAAAACTGATGGTTTTTAAACCCTTTCAGTTCCAGAACATTCTGTTCAAAGAAGTCTGATTAGGAATCACTCAAGTTCCATGGAGGAAACAAAGAAGGGTTGGTTCAAGAGAGGCTGGTGGGGATGTTGGGTGTCCCATCTTTTCTCTACCAGGCACCTGTACCCCATCCCACCCCTGAAGCTTGGGAGATGGGATGTGTCCCAAGTTTTGGGGACAGTTTTGGAACAGTTTTTTTTCTTATTTTCTCTACAAATATCATGTTATATCTGTAATGCAGTAAATGGTATTTAAAAACTTTTAATTGAAATAGCAACTGTACATATGCACGGGGTACAGTGTGACCTTTCAGTACATGTATGGAATATTGTAATGATTTAATGAGGGAAAGTGGCATATATGTCACCTCAGACATTCATCATTTCTTTGTGCTGGGAACATTCAAATTTTCTCTATTATTTTGAAATAATTAATTGGCAGCTGCAGTTATCTTACAGTGGGCTACAGCATTAGAAGTTGTATCTGTATATTCAAAATAAGATAGATATACAGCTACTTTCCCTTAATTCAATGAGAAGAAAGATTTGTTATCAAGAGTGTTTGGACAGAATATCTTGTCTGCATCTTGTACTATGAATAACCACTATGAAGACAACAATATGCAATGTATTAACTATTGAAACTGTCCTATTAATTGGTTTTGAAACCTTCTTATTGCTATTGTTTCTCAATAAAATTTTAAAAATGGTAAAAATGTTGTCCCCTCATCTAACGTCTCCCCATGCACGACAATGATTGTATACTCTCCAACAGTGTTATAGGCATGTGTTGCTCAAGAGAAGAGTTGCTCAAGAACAAAGAGAGAGAGAGAGAGAGAGAGAGAGAGAGAGAGAGAGAGAGAGTTGTTTGTCACCACACAGCTGCACACTTGGCACCCAGGAAAACTCCTAGTACACATTGGGTGAACAAACAAAAGAATGCCTAGAAAAAATGTTCGTCCATGATAAATTTTAAGAAACAGAATTAATAAGAGAAAGGGTGTGCGCATTTTCAAAATTTCTAGTAGATGAAGACCAGCTGAGAGCAGTGGGAGAGGCTACAATAAATCTAAATGTGGCGAGCCCTGCAGTTGATGATGCCTGAGGTAAGGCAGAGGCTAATGAAATGGAAGGAAAATATGAATCTGAAATACTCAGAGAAGATAGAATATTGATGATGGATGGTTTGGGAACCCAGGAGACTGGAGCCAGGAAAGAGCTCAGTTTTGATCCCAAAGGTGATTGTAGGGAGGGTTGGCAATGCTATAGTAATGCTCCAGAATTCCCACCAGAAGTTAGCACATGGTGTAAGTCAGCACTTGGCTTACCAGACGTGAGTCAGCCTTGGTAATTTCTTGGGTGTGTGTATCCTGGAGAGGAAAGTACAATGCCGACGATAAATTAGCAATGCCTACGTGCCTGCGCCTTGGCCCGCAGTTTTACCAACTACAGCCTGAAGTACATCTCACTCACTGGGGACATGACGAACATGGACAAATGGGTGTCCTTCAGCCAGACCATGGAGAACATAGCCAGTCCCTGAAGAGGTCTAGTCCTCTAAGCCTGTGACATTTAGTTGACACTTTCCTCTGCTTGATGGCTCACCAGATGTACTGAGTTATTTCTCTAACTGGATGAAAAATACATAGAGGGGAGGGGGCTGTCCTTTTTATGCTCCCCAAAGTTCTTTCCTCCAACCTCTCGTGGGAATTGCTATTGCCATCTGGCTGACCAAATGGTGCCGACAAACTGAAAGATTTCTGGGAACATCCCAGTGCCAGGCCACTTCTGATCCATCATCATGTGTTTTCTGGATTATTCAGCCCATGAACGACTGGATTATCAGGATCTTAGCTTTCCTGGAAACTCAAGGGTAGTTTGATTTCTCGGCCCCTTCCAGCGGGCGTGTACCAGGAAAAGCTCTGTCTTCTGGTAGAACATTACCATTCAGGAATGTTACCTGGAGCATGCTGCGGCAACTTGCGCCAGAGGGAGGGACACCTGAAAGCTCTGCAGGCATCGGTCCAGCTGGATCACTTCAGCCAACTGACTGGAAGGAACACAAATGCGCGCTTGGGCGCGCGCACACGCACACACACACACACACACACACACACACACACACCCATGCAATGTTCATATTGGAAAGGGGCTGGCTATTCACCTTTAAAGGCAGCCATAGGCAACAATGGCATTGCAAAAACATAAAATTTGTAAATGAAATGGTGAGGTGTTACCTAAGACATTGTTCTCCACCTGAGAGACCTAATTGGAAGTTTCACTTCTACAGACCACCCTTCTAACTCTGTTCCTCTGAAAGAAGAGGCTAAGAGACACAGAGGAGTAGTCCATCTTGTACTATGAATAACCACTACAAAGACAACAATATGCAATGCATTAATTCTTGAAACTGTCCTACTAATTGGTTTTGAAACTGTCTCATTGCTATTTGTTTCTCAATAAAATTATTTTTTAAAAAAGAGACACAGAGAGGGCTGGAAAGATCCTGATTGGCAGAACTTCAAGGAAATGGGCTGCTCAGCAGGAGACAGGCCACGGCATGACTCCGCTGGGCTCTGAGGCCCCTGGCCACGGCCCAGTTCCCAGAGGCCTCTTTCCCTCCTTTGCTCTCCATAGTTCTCTCTAACCTCATGTGTTCTGGTTCCTGCTTCCCCAGTACATGATGTTCCAAGAGAGCTATAGAATCATTTCAGAGTTTGATCTTTGAAATGGAGGATGAGAGTGGCCTTAACATCCCGTTATACCCAGTGCTCAAGTGGAAGACCTCGAACACTTGGCTCAGGGCATCTCAGTTTGCATTTCCTCACCTGGAAATGAGCTACTGATCACCTTACAAGGTCCTGTGAAAAATAGAATTGAT